TGTGAGATTCTTTCAAAACCCTACTCTTCCTATAGTTTTGATTCAATTTCAATATGACTTGATACATAGGTAGATTTTACTAAGATACATTATTCTATTTAGCAGTTTCCGACTCTCAACAAATGCTATGGTTACTAAAATAGAAACTCCTGTGAAATTATTTCAAAACGTTACTTCTCTTACAGATTTTATTTGATTTCAATAAGATACAGACTACAATAAGATACATAATTCTGCTTATCAAATTTCGAATATCAATTGAGGGTTGCCATGGTTACTTAAGATAGAAATATCTGAGTAATTCATCCTTCTACAGTTTAAGGTCCGACGACACGTTGTTCGAGAAACTGTTTTGTATCTCTTCCTAATACATGTATACCACAGGTACTTGTGGACAGGACCCCCCCCCCCCCTTCCAATATGCCCCACAGGTCAAAAAATATTTTTATGTATTTTTTTCATAAATTATTCTTCTAGTACACATTTACAATGTATTCCATAAGAAAAATCCAAAATTTAACGCAGAATTAACGTTTCACTAAAAAATCATACCCGCGGTATTATAAAATAGAGAAGGTAAGTCACTTCCATTTGTTTATACTGGACCCCTCTTGGATATCAGGCCCGAAATATCATTTACCTAATACATGTCACCGAAATGTGTCATGATATCTTGTTTCGGTAGATATTTTTGTCTTTAATCGTGCTATTTAATTGCCCAGGCATCCCATAATAATCCGAGTATTCATCGTCAAACGTGAAAAATGCTACAAGATTTGGAAATGTCAGAGTAGAAATTACGGAAGTGACGCAAAAACGACACCTAGCGTGTAACTCTCGAGTTCCGAGTGTTATAGAACTAAAAGGAAAAGTCAGAGGTCTACGAAAAAGTTCGGGAAAATTTTGATTGATTCATTAGAATTAAATTCTGCTTAAGATTTTCGAGATGAGCGAGGGTAGTCGTCAATATTCCCTTTAAAGGATGTTATCATTGATACCAAGTAGCGGTTTAAAAATCGCTTAAACATTTATTTACAACTTACAAGACATGTAACCCCCCTTCCCCTTTTACATGGACATGCTTGCAATTAATTCCGATAATATTAAGCTTAATAATTATCATCTTCGCTAGCCAAGGGTTTTCGGTCCACTCCGCTCCCCATAAACCCTTGGCAGATTTCAGGTTTATGGGGAGCGGAGTGGACCGAAAACCCTTGGCTAGCGAAGATGAATAATTATGTGTATTTTTTAATATTCTTATGCGATGATTATCATTTGCCAAGGAATTTAAATGTGAGTCTTTTCAAAATTAATTCTTAAGAATGAAAATCAGAACCCCATTTTTTTTTTTTTAATAATTTTCATGCTCTTCTTTACTTTCGCGTCGCACTGCTGAGTTTATTTCTGGCCTTGATTACATATATATATCAAGCTGCTATTATTTTAATTGAACAAACGGAAGCTTAACTTCTATAAAATAAAGACTTTTAAAAAAGTTCTTTAGGTACGTCTTTTCTAACAGTCATAGTTAGATTTGCAACTTGTATTACGTAGCAATTGACGTTTAAATATTGCATGGGTTGTACAACCATTCATCAACTGGTCAATTTGTTTTTCTCCAACACTGTAACTTGTAATGACGTTGCACAGCCCCCGTCCCCAAATTAATCAATATTGATTAAATACATGTAGCGAATTCATAACAAATGGGGAAAAAAAGAGATTTTTTGTACAGTTTTAAATAATCACATTTTCTGTCTTTACTTATTTTTAAAACTAGTTTATCATTCTAAATATTATATTTACTACCACATTAGTTTAACGGATATCCACCTTACCGCAGACACAATTTAATGAAAATTCCATGTCCACGCAGATGGGGAAGGCGGTCGAGGTGGAGTGGGGGGGGGGGGGGGTTTACATGTCAAGTTTATAATGTTTAAGCGATTTTTAAACCGCTACTTGGTATCAATGATAACATCCTTTAAAGGGAATATTGACGACTACCCTCGCTCATCTCGAAAATCTTAAGCAGAATTTAATTCTAATGAATCAATCAAAATTTTCCCGAACTTTTTCGTAGACCTCTGACTTTTCCTTTTAGTTCTATAACACTCGGAACTCGAGAGTTACACGCTAGGTGTCGTTTTTGCGTCACTTCCGTAATTTCTACTCTGACATTTCCAAATCTTGTAGCATTTTTCACGTTTGACGATGAATACTCGGATTATTATGGGATGCCTGGGCAATTAAATAGCACGATTAAAGACAAAAATATCTACCGAAACAAGATATCATGACACATTTCGGTGACATGTATTAGGTAAATGATATTTCGGGCCTGATATCCAAGAGGGGTCCAGTGTAAACAAATGAAAGTGACTTTCCTTCTCTATTTTATAATACCGCGGGTATGATTTTTTAGTTAAACGTTAATTCTGCGTTATTTTTTGGATTTTTCTTATGGAATACATTGTAAATGTGTACTAGAAGAATAATTTATGAAAAAAATACATAAAAATATTTTTTGACCTGTGGGGCATATTGGAAGGGGGGGGGGGGGGTCCTGTCCACAAGTACCTGTGATGTATACAACAAATTAATCATAATTATCATTGTCTTGTGATTTTTAAATGTTTTCAAAATTTCTAAGTAGATAAAGACACCAAAAAATTGTGATATTGGCAATTCCAGTGCTTTCTAATAGGATTATATAGTAAATAGCATCCTCAGCTGGTATCATGACGAATGCCAAAAAAAAAATTTGTGAGGAAACTTCTTAAAGTAGCAATACTTCAATGACAAATTCTTGGGAAAAAAATATGTATTATTGAGGAACGTGTCGTCTGACCTTAAATGCAATTCCCACAAGACTTGGTACAGATAAATTCTGTGATTTTTTTTTATAAAACATTACTTCTACAGTTTTCGTCAGATTCAATAAGAATTGGTACACAGGTAGACTATACAAACTTTAAGATACATCTGTCTTTCTTAAACGTACACAATATAGTAGAGCTACAGTCTCATCAGAGACTTCTAGTATAGATATTCCATTCGCTTATATTAATAATTATTATATATACATATAGGATGAAGTAGTTGTTTTCTTAAATATTGATTACCATAGGTAAGTCCTTTCTCAGTCAACCGAAAGACGGCTCCATAATCACGATCTCCAGAATCCTCCAACTCGTGAGACTTTGATAGAAAAACACACAACAGCAAGATCAAATTAATTATTCTGAAGAAAGGATGATGTGTTACAAGGTTCCTCATGATTATCATACCACGGGCCTGTACAACATTAGACAAGTCAGGATTAAATCAACATCATCTTAAATAGTTATGGGAATTCATCCTTTATAACTTTTAGCTGGCAGAGGACAGTTTTTTTAATGCCGAGGGGGGTAGGCATCTACATGACGTCAATGAAAACAGAAATCTGGGGGCAGTTTCCTGGAAGCTTATTTGTTGCACGTAATAAACATATGTAGCTTAAAAAATATGTCAACGTTATCTACATATTAGAGTGCACGTGTACCGAAAATGCACGGGGGGGGGGGGCAGATTTTGACTTGTCTTTCAAAGATTGGGGCTGCAGAAGCTACATACCCGAGCTAAGGGGGTGAAACACCCAGCATTCTGTATATGAATGCACACTATAATGAAATTCGCCAGTTGATCTGGGCCCATTAACCATCCCTCTGAGATACATACCTTCTTCTAAGCCATACTGCTTTCAAGCTAAATTTCCTCGTCAAATCACGGTATATCTCAGTTTTGCATTTACAACTCTGTACAGTGTATATGCTAAGCATCATAGCGACACTTACATGTTGCACATTTCTCAGCGAGCACACTCTGTGCTACACTGCACAACTATCCCATAATTATTCTGTTCATTTTTCTACATAAAGTATCACATCGATCGAGCAGGGGTATGTCGTTTTATGCGTTTTTTTGAATGGGTCTTTAATACGAATCTCTCCCCTGCCACCTAAATTTAACATAATATGCGGAAGTTCAATCATTATCTGTCTCAAAATGACATCAAATATAGCAACACGTCGATATTTTTTTTAAAAGAAGCAAGTTTCTCTTTTCAGTGTTCTTTTTGTTTAATAGATGTTTTTTCTAAACTGCAGCTTAATTCAAAATCTATAAATGAACTAAATATGTTTTACAGAATCATGATGAATAATAAAATTGGGTGTATTGCAAAAATGTATATTTAGTGAAAAAATACCCTACCCTTATTTGTGGAATGAAACACAGGAATCTTCCTTATTTAGTTTAGGAATATTTCCGGAATGTTTTGAACTTTGCAATGAAATGCATTCAATTAGGCGGACACAAATATAGACTGTTTTATGTCCCTAGATATTTTGCTATTTTGTGTGTTTTTTTTTATTGTTCACTAATATGGTTTTCCTTAATATATATATATATATGTATGTATGTATGTATGTATGTATGTATGTATGTATGTATGTATATTAAGTAAATGTCACATATATTCATTTTCGGCGACGAGGAAGTGATATAATTTATTTCTTTTTGCAATGACGTACACTTAAGAGGTAATCTCAAAAAATTGACACTAGCTGGACTTGAATTCTTTTCTTACTCAAAATAATGTATCTTGATGTTTTTCCTACTTGTTAAATAAAATCATTGATCTTCATGAATGTCTTTGAAAAAAAAATATTGATGATCCAAGAAACCTTAAATAAAGAAAAATATTCTTAATATACGGTACATGTGACACTGATTTAAATACAACAAATATCTGTAATAATTCGTTATCTAAAATAAATATGACTTTATATATTATACACGTATATACTGAGACATCTAGATGTGCAGTTTCTATTTAGTATTTATCCCGAGTAAGAAATTTTACTTCCTAGTCGGTATTTCACAATAAGGCCATTTAAATCTATTTTTGGACTGAGCCGTCCCCATTAAAGCTTGTATTTTTAGTGGATAAATCCATTCTATACATATTACTTTCAAAAAGAACTCTTCCGCGATGCAACCAGTGTGTTTCTTAACAGTTTTGTCTTTGTTTGTGACATCGACAGAGTGTAAATTACCCGGATTAAAGACAAGAATCACCGACAAGGCACTTGATTACGGTATTGTTTGATTGCGTGGATGGATTTATGGAGCGGCATAACTGTCTCCTGTGTATCAGTTAGAACTTTACCGATACTTTTCATTATACAATGCATTTATTATTATAATATGCTGATTTAATGATATTTATACCCCCGCTCCGAAGGAGAGGGGGTATAATGTTTTACCCTTGTGTGTCTGTCTGTCCGTCTGTGTGTCTGTCTGTCTGTCCGTAACAAATTTTGGTCGCAGTTTTCTCAGCAACTACTCATTGCAGATGCTTAAAATTTTAGCACACTCTTTGTTTAGGCATGCCATATGATGGGATACATTGTTTCACAATTCCGATGTCAACTTCCTCTTTATCCGTGTGTGTCCGTAGCATACATAACAAATTTTGGTCGCAGTTTTCTCAGCAACTACTCATCGCAGATGCTTGAAATTTTAGCACAACTTTTGTTTAGGCATGCCATATGGTGGGAATCATTTTTGTATGAATCTGATGTCTACTTCCTGTTTATCCGTGCATCTGTCCGTACCATACATTACAAATTTGGGTGGCAGTTTTCTCAACAACTACTCAACGCATATGCTTAAAATTTTAACACACTCTTTGTTTAGGCATGCTATATGTTGGGATTCATTTTTGTACAAATCCGGTGTCAATTTCCTGATTATCACTGTGTCTGTCCATAACTGAACTTGTGTATTCACATCAAATCGGGGGTATTATTAGTGAGCATTGGCTCACAGACTTCTTGTTTTATTTTTTTTCTTAGGACTACATGTCCTAATAAGTTAAAAAATACCTGACTTTATGTTGAACATGTTTAGCAGGTAAAATAGTAAATAATATATATTATCAAACAGGGTACATGTACATGTATAAGAGGGTTTTCCGAAGCATGCCAAGAAATCCCGTCCATTTTTCCACAGCGATGGAGTCAATAAAAGTGTAATTGATGCAAATCACCCATATTCCCCTAACGCTGGCGAGACCATTAACGGCAGCAGATTTGAGGGGGTGGATCCTAAGTTTTCCGTTTTCTTAGTAAAAGAAAAATAAACTTCTACCCCAGGAAGTAGCCTCCTATGCCTTGGAAAAAATAGTTCCTGTCAAAAACCCTTATTTGTTTAGTACAAAATATGTAAAATGCACAAGACACAGGTACCAAAATTGTAAATATAGACTGGAAGGAAATAAAAAAAATTCAAAAGGAAAAAATAATGATTTTATATGTATGGAACTACAATTTTCATTGGTCAATTACCAGTATGATACCTTAATAAGGCGCGAGACTTCCACAACAACCAAGTTCATCGTGCCCGATGTTATTAATACTAGGAAAAAAAAATATTTTGATATGGAAACACTGAAAAATTTGAAAGGCGTCTAATTTTTACTGAACAATTAATTAGCTTACTATAATAATCTATTTCACTTTCTTTTTCTTCTATTTTACTTTTTTAACCGCATATGATTTGCATGGAAACCCCCCCCCCCCCCTTCAAAAAAACAAAAAACAAAAAACAAAACAAAAAAAACGGGAAAGTGCAAAGGCTTCTTAATAATAAATATTCTAGCTTTAATTTAAAACCAGTAAAAGATAAGATCCTTCCCTAAAAACTGCTGACATTAATTGCCTCGCGCACATCTCCCTGGGGAAAAAAATCACAGATTAACGCTAATTCCGAGTTCGCTCTATAACTAGAATGCGTACTTTTTCTTGGCATGAAAATTTAAAATTTACAACATCTGGGAAAATTTGAAGGATTGATACTGCCTGTATAGCTACTTGACACGTGAAACGCAATGCTATGAGACTTGTAATCATATAACGGCAAACTGACAAATAATTTTAAATTTCGTCACATGAAGTGTCAAAAATCTCGTCTGTTTGATTGTAGTTTTATACTGAAACGCAGAAGAAAAGCAACATCGTAATGTTAGGGGGATTGATTGATTGTATATTGTTTTACGTCCCATTCGAGATTTTTTCACTCATTTAGAGACGTCACCATATACCGGTGAAGGGCTTCAAATTTTGACCTTTACTCGGCACTCAGGGTCATTGAGCAGTGAGGGATCTTTATCGTGCCAACGCCTGCCGTGACACGGGGCCTCGGTTTTTAAGGTCTCATCCGAAGGACCCGCAACTTTCACTTCAAAGTGCCGAGCGCATGGCGAAGGAACAGTTGCTACCTATTTTTTATCGACTTAGGTCTGTCGCGGCCGAGATGCGAACTCACGACCTCCCGATCACGGAGCGAGCGCTCTACCGACTGAGCTACCGTGAACGGTAATGTTAGGGGGAAAATTATATACAGTTATAACTTTGTACTTAAAAAGTTAGGACATCTTCAACTTTGCCAAATCAGTAATTTAACGGTCGAATGATTTTCATTCCATTACCGGAAGTTGATTATGAGCCCTCTTAACAGAAATCAAAATATACATGTTGAATAAAACATTTAACAATAATTTGAGTTTTCAAGGGTTTTTACCTGTTAATCATAAGTATTGCACTAATATTCCGAAAAAAAACCCTTCTTTCTTTTCCCGATGTGATGCCAATATTTCTTCAAAATAAATGAAAGCACGCATTTTGATTGCCCTTCCTGGAAGTTCTCAAAATAAAGGTAAAGGGGAGTTGCAGATGCAAATATGCAGTACATAACGACTCATTAGGCTCATGCGTTTCATAAGCATGAATGACTGTTCTTTGACCGGAAGTCCAAGAGTCCATACACCACGTACTCCAGGTTAGAGAAAATTCGACCTCAGTATCTGAAAAACAGGCACTTAAAAATGCTTAAGAGTATTTCTTTCGCTCAGATCAAGAGACTAATAAACCTAATGCATCGTAGAAATCGAGCTGCAATTGTTGTACATGGCGAACTAGCACGCTGTAATTGAATGGTCGGAAGGGGGATGATTTAAGAGTTATGTTTTACCTTTTAAGGTTTAAAGATAACAATACATTATTGTTAAATGTTTTATTAAACATGCAATTTTTTATTTCTTTTAAGAGGGCTCATAATCAACTTCCGGTAATGGAATGAAAATCATTCGACCGTTAAATTACTGATTTGGCAAAGTTGAAGATGTCCCAACTTTTTAAGTACAAAGTTTAACCTGTATATGATTTTCCCCCTAAAATAAGGATGTTGCGTTTCAGTATATATTCCTTGGAAAGGAGTATTTTAATAATAAGATATATCAATATTTTAACTGAAGTTGACCATCGTAAAAAAAATATCAGAACCTTCCAGTCTATTTCAGTCTACCTGATGCGATTACGAAAGCAACAATTGTGTTTAATATTAATAATCATTTGTCCTTGAATTCAAATATATATATATATATATATATATATATATATATATATATATATATATATATATATATATATATATATATATATATAGAAAGCACAGAGAAATTCACTTTTATAAGGATACCCACTTCCGCCGATGGAATTCTCGCGGCGCTGTTCTACACTACGCGATCAGAATGGAAGTGAGATACATACATATATATACATATATATATATATATATATATATATATATATATATATATATATATATATATATATATATATATATATGGGGAGAGAGAGAGAGACAGAGATCAGGTTCAACTAAAAGACCATGTATCAAGGGCAAGGCTAAGCAACCTCTCAAACCGGCATAAAGAATTTTTATGGGTTCCCAGACATGGAAGGAAATCAAGTATTAATGACTCGCTTTGCCTTTGACCTTGTACATCTCCAATCCATGACATGGATCAAGAGTAAGCAAATACATTTAATGTGTTAAACACAGTGTTAGAAAATTATCAGCAAGACGGATTCATTATACACTCCACCGAATTGTATGGCGGAATTTCAATGGTCCAAACGTATTACACAACTGAAACCACAGAAATTTAATTATCTGTCGATTTTTTTTTTTTTATCTTCTATCATTCTTTTTCTTTCTTTTGCATTCTTTTTTTTCTTCTCTGTTTTGATAGCTACAAATGTTGCCTTGGACAAACTGACAAAGCAGGTGACAGGCCAGCCTATACCTGATCAACATGGTAGTACTGGAGACGTCAAGTTTGACATAACAGGGTAAAGTATTACGAATAAAATGTTTTCCACAACTTTGGGGCTCGATATTTTAAACATTGAATTAAATTATGGATATCTAATTTCGGAGACTGTTGGTACAATGCTGTCTACTTCCTTTTCAGAATAAAAGTAAATGAGTTTATCAAACCAAGCAGCAGAGTATCAATGATTCAGAATGTTGGCCTGTCTTGGAGCACAAGTGGAACTCAACTGGCACTTCATGGAGATTTTCATTACAAATATAAAAAAGGAATGTAAGAGCTCTTATTTGTAATCAAGATTTGATTTTGATGAACAATTTTACCCATTTAATTTTTTTCTTTTTAATAAGGAATCTCTCAATAACTACAAGTTAATTGCTAAATTTCTTTTTTAATCTGAATTGAACGGTGACAAAGAGTAAAATTATTTGTAAAGTTAATACACCTACTTGCCACTTTATTCGTACTGAAAAAACAGTCTAATTTTCTGTGGATATTCTAGCATCAAAATATCCGACTCCGGAAGTTTTGACCTGAACTCCAGAGATATTGCCTTTCAGCTAAAGATAGAGATTGGTAAATATGATCTCGATCCCCACTACATGTATTGTGTTCAGAAATATAAAAATGAAATATTTTTTAAGCTAATAAATCTTCAAAGGAGATGGGTGAACATGACGAGCGATAAGCCTATAGTGTGACAAACATGAAGATGAAAAATTAAATTTCAATTATATCAAAATTTTCCTTGATATTTCATCTAACATTAAAATATACTTTATGTAAAATCTCTACAATTTGCAAAAATCCCTCAAAGATTGAAATTATTTGCCTGTGAAATATTAGACACACACTAAAGCGGGCAAAAAGAGTCACTTTCTCATGCTATAACACTATTTTTCGATATGAGTGGGTCTTCGCTCCACCTTTTTGAAAGTTAATCCTCAAAGTTTGCATAAAAATATACATTTTTTGGTTACCAAAAATATGGAGCAATGACCCACTATACCTTAAAAATATACTTTTATGACAAAACATTCGCATCTTTTCGAGAAATACTTGAAGTCCATTAAGTCAAGGGTACTATCACAAACATGATTTAAATGCCAATGGTCGTCAGGACAGGTCAATAATGAGAACAGGTTAATGATGAGAACTTTTCTCTAAATATTAAATTCACAAACTGAACATGATTTTTATATTTCTGAAGCTATAGGCTTTCTGCACGCTATGTTCGCCCATCTCCTTTAGTTTGCAAAATTTATACAAATATGGTTTGGAAAATTAATAACATATTATCTTTAAGGTGTGGACAATTCTGGACGTCCGACAATGAAATCAGTGGGCTGTAGCTGCAACGTGGGCTCAGCAGATATAAAGTTTCATGGCGGCACTGCATGGATTTATAACCTATTTTCTGGAATGCTGGAAGGCAAACTGAAAGATATGATTGCTGGAGGCAATGGAGTTGTAAGAAATATATGATACATTTTATATTTTTAAAATAGTGTTCATTAATTTATTTTACATGAAAAAAGTCAAGTTTTCATTACTTAGTAAGGCGAATGTAATTTTACATGTTTATTTCAGTTATGCAAACAAATAAATAACCTTGTGAATGTGAACGGAATGGAGAGTTTAAAGAAGTTACCAGGTAGTAGAATTATAAATATATACCACGTGTACCCTGTATTTTTTCTACAACTATTTATGCAAAAATTTTTGTCTCTACAGCAGGCTTAAATGTTCCTTATATCAATGTACAATTCTGGACTGTTTAATGGGGAGACTTACAAATTATGAGGTCTGAGTAGAGTTGTCACCCAAGGGCGCTTGTGCCCGAGGGTGTCAAGTTAACAACCATACTCAGACTTCATAATTTCTGATGTTTCTGATGCTCTAGATCAATCAAATTGACTGTATTATTTTGAAGCATAATATACGTTTTTCCCCTGATTTCCTTTTCACAGTAACTGTGCAAATTGCGAAGCAATTCCTGTTGGATTATACTCTTTTAGCAAAGCCAGCCTTTTCATCAACATTTATGGAAACGTACCATAAGGTATTCCACTCAGCAGCATTATGTTATTACAATGAATTCAGTTAGGAAATTTTTCGAATGTTCTGATATTTCATAATAATTTAATTAATATTTTGACATAATAATTTATTCTTTTGACATAAAAACTGTGACCATGATTTATTTTTCTATTCTACTACAGTTATTGTCGAGATCAAAAAAATGCCGCGGCTAATATCTTCCAATAAATTACGAACATCATCAAAAAAGTATCAGATTAGAAACACTTATAAAAATTTGTAAAAAAGAATTTAAAAAATAATGACTTTCGAATGTAATACGTATTTAGACTACATCGCTGTCTCGTTTTCTGCAATATCTTCATGTGTATTGCCTAAAAAAGCTGACATACGTTTGTTTTTATAGCTAAAGGAGTTGTTCCAGGGACTTCCCCACAACATTTACACTCCATGAATTTACTGTTAAAGCAATTAAATCGACAACAGATCTTGCTATTTTATAATCATAAAAAATAATGAAAATATGTTGTAAACAAAACTATAAATGATGAAGGATATTTGTAATCCAAAGAAAGCTCTAATCGTCTGTATTCCTTTGAAATCGATACACAAGTAAACAAAGGAGTTGACCCTCTGGTGTTACATGGAACAGCCAAATCACGACATGGTGATCTTATTCGTTTCTCTATAGAGGAAACGATAAGCCGTATTTTAGAGCTTTTAGTAGAAAAGAAGCAAAGTCCTTTGTTGTCGTGAATGGTGCAGGATAACCTCCTAGGTCTCGAAATGTTGTGTGAAATGCAAAAGCTTTGGCTAACGCCTCGGCTTTTATATTTCAAAACAACATTATCGACCTCGGAGATTATCCTGCAACATCAACGAAAACAAGAACTTTATTTCTTAAACATATACTTCCAAAGGGAGAGGTGTACTGGAGTGCCAATCCTCGTGAAGCCCCATTCCCTGTTCCTCCTTTGCTGAAATCCAACGATACCTCCAGAATGATGTACTTATGGATGTCTGATTTTCTGTTCAACTCCATGTCTTATAATGCATACAAATATGATAAACTTCAGTACAATGTTACGAACAAAGATGTAAGTACTACACAAGTAGCAAAATAAAATCTTTATTTTCACACAAATAGTTACTAGTACTAAATTGACTACAGCATTCGACATAGTAAATTTAACCATCATCTACTTGATTAACACGGGCGTCTTATAATTTGTTATAAAAATGGTGTAGTTGATATATGGTATTGAAGACATCAGTTGCAGTAAAAAAAAAAGTCTTTGTTCAACTTGTCTTGCAATTGTAACGTTCTTTGTCAAAAACTATTATATTTCACAGCTTCCATCAGGTGTGTTAAATACAACATGTCCAAAAACAACATGCATTGGAAAATTCATTAAAGTTGTAAGTAACAAAGTTGTGTTATTTGCTGTCGCAGGAATACAAATGTGTTTCACGGAGGACCTTCAGCTCCCAGTACAACTAATTGAGCACAAGCATCAGTTGATATTGGGAGCTTACTGTTTATTATTTTAAACAAAATTCATGATAAATACGTAAGATTTTCAATTTTCTGTGATTAACCTTATTCTCTTTGGCCCATTAAAGAATTCAGTTATGTACATGTATTTAGATTGGGGAGAAATTTCCCAACACAACAGTGATGTTATACATGAAATCTACAACGATGCCAAACATGACTGTCCGGAATGGGTCTACTATGGTGGAAACCTCTGGTGACATCCTTTTCTTTGCTCAACAATCTGATGGGAAATACACGTATTTCTTGACGCTTTCTGCAGTAGGTTACTATTATTATTATTATGCAAAAAGACTAAAACTGAGTTTAAAATATTTCCCGAAATCAACAATCTCTGTTTAAAAATTATTTTAGAGCATGACAACAACAATTTCATTGATGATTCAGAATGGGAAAATATACGCCAAAGTTCCTGATTTACCGTATGTATAAATTTTGAATTTGCTTGCAAAATTTGTAGGTGTCGAATCATTTGTTAAAACGCCAATTCTTGTTCTTAAAGGATACAGGTGAAAGTGAAAGACTCCAAAATTGGGGCTTTGTCAGTAAGTTGAAAATAGTAATCTTTGAAATAGTATTGTCATAAATGAATTACTGGTATACTAGTAGTTCTTAGATAATGCAAATGTAAGTTTGTGAATGAAAATATCTATATGAATGTTTATTTCAGGCACAGGGGTTAAATTTTATCATCAAAGGTGTTGTATCAATATTTGTACAACCTAAACTAAACGGTAAGCTTTGCTGAAAGAAACAGAGCCATTCTGCTTTATTACATTATTTTAGATAATTTTCAACTGACAGCAAGAATGGCAAGACATAGAGAGGCAAAATGAATTTGTTCACTCTGTTAGATATAACAAAAAAATTACAAAATATAAAGAAATATTTTTGTAAGAGGTATTTTGATAAAGACGGGGCAATTTAAAACTATTTCTAGCTGTTAAGAGTCGAAAATTCTGCCGTTTTGAAGAAATAATTGAATTTGAATTGATGGAAATTTAAGCATTTATTTTAAAACAAAATTTGCATAGGTTTACCGTTGAGTTGATCAAAACTTAAACTTTAGGAACCGGGTTATACTTCTTTTTTTCAGAACTTGGAAGCAAAGGATTCCCTCTTCCTATCATTGACTCGGTGCATTTCGTTAATACAGAACTTACATTAGGAAAGGTACCTAGCTACATATATATCATTTGTTCTTTTAGTTTTTTTTCTATTCTATTTTTTGATCAATTAACATAAGAATGGCATAAATTGCAAAAATATAATACCTGTATGACGATTCCACTCAAAAATGAACATTCATAAAGAGCAATACGTATATAGTAAAGATATATATTATCAAACTCAGCTGTGAGTTGCAGTGATATGTAATAGAAGTTTCCAGGTAAAATTTACAAACTCCTGGAATAGGTACTATAAATAAAGCTCTTAAACATTGAATAGTAATTAAAAATATTTGCAGAGACACAGCTTCTAATGACAGAACTGGGCATGTCAAAGCCTAACAAACAGCACAAGGTTATAATTTGTGTATGTAACAGAGAGACACCAAGATTTGATCTCATTTAACTAATAATAAAAATTGGTATATTTCAAAGGTGCTTGGACACAGATTTGAAGTTAATATTTTCTCAAATTTTCTGTATAATTTCATGACTAATCTGTTGCTATTAGCATTTCATACTAAAATATAATAAAAATCTTATTTCATCTCAAAGTTATTAAAACTTCAAATTTCTGGACGCGTTGGATTGATACATTCTTGCGCTTTCTGTTATTTTAATTTTATTCTTAATACTTAAGAAAAATGGCAATTTTGTTGTGTATTAATGAAAAATATTAAAACTATAATCCAGAAAATTCAGAGTAGAAATGTTCGAAAGCAAAACCCACTCACAGTATTGTCAGTCCGTGCTCAGTGGTGTGTGCAGAGTTTAATAATTGAACACACCCGGTGAATCGTAAACATTAACAATAACAGAGCTCGTGCCCTGTTTACAAAAACAGTTTACGTTTCGCAGGTGTGTTCAATTTGTTAAACTTTGTACACATCACAGAGCACGGACTGACAATACTGGTGAATAGGTTTTGCTTTCGAACATTTCTACTCTGAATTTTCTGGAATATAGATCTAATATTTTTCATTAATACATAAAAAAAATCGCTTCTTTTCTTAAATATTAAGGATAAAGTTAAAATTTGTGTAAGTGCAAAGATGTGTCAATCAAACGCGTCCCGGAATTTGTAGTTCCAATAATTTCCAGATAAAATAAGTTTTAAATTATATTTTCGTGTGAAATGCTATTGAAATATACAAGTCGTGATATTAAACAGAAAATTTGAGAAAATATTAAGTTCAAATCTGTGTCTAAGCACCTTTAACTACGAGGCAGGAATATGAAGCCATTTCTCCTCTCTGCTTCGACCATTGTAAATTATTGGTATTTTTAATGGGCAAAGGTAGTATGGATGAATCTGTGTATTGAAACAATGTGCATTTCGCATTAATATACACAATGTAGCATATTTTATTAGCTCACCTGAGCTGAAAGCTCAAGTGAGCTCTTCTGATCACCCATTGTCTGTAGTCCTTTGGTAGGGTTGGGACACAATCTAAGTTTTACATTGAAATATGTAGGAAAAATCTTTCAAAGTCTTAAAATCTCTAAAAGTCTGAAACTTATATGAAAGCATCCTGGTGTAGTATAGACTCTAAATTGTTAAAACCATGACCCCCAAGGGTAGGGTCTTGCCACAATAGTGAATCCAAGTTTTACATTGAAATATAAAGGGAAAATCTTCCCAAGAACCACTGGGCCAGAAAAGCTGAAACTTATATGGAAGCATCC